CCTGCCAGCCTGCGCGCCATGGGGCAAGCCGGCAACAGCAGCGTCTTCTCGCTGGCGTCCAATGAAAGCCACCAGCCGCAGCACAACGTGACGCAAGAACGGGACGAGGCGTGGGTGGTGGGCATGGGCATCCTCATGTCGCTCATCGTCCTGGCCATCGTGTTTGGTAACGTGCTGGTCATCACGGCCATCGCCAAGTTTGAGCGTCTGCAGACGGTCACCAACTGCTTCATCACCTCACTGGCCTGTGCAGACTTGGTCATGGGCCTGGCGGTGGTGCCCTTTGGGGCCAGCCACATCCTCATGAAAATGTGGAGTTTCGGCAACTTCTGGTGCGAGTTTTGGACCTCCATAGACGTGTTGTGCGTCACCGCCAGCATCGAGACCCTGTGCGTGATCGCAGTGGATCGCTACTTTGCCATCACGTCCCCGTTCAAGTACCAGAGCCTTCTGACCAAGAATAAGGCCCGGGTGGTCATCCTGATGGTGTGGATCGTGTCCGGCCTGACCTCCTTTTTACCCATCCAGATGCACTGGTACCGGGCCACCCACCCGGAAGCCCTCAAATGCTATACCAACGAGACCTGCTGTGATTTCTTCACGAACCAAGCCTACGCCATCGCCTCCTCCGTGGTGTCCTTCTACCTGCCTCTGGTGGTCATGATCTTCGTCTACTCCAGGGTCTTCCAAGTGGCCAAAAGGCAGCTCCAGAAGATCGACAAATCCGAGAGCCGCTTCCATGGCCCAAACCTCAGCCAGGTGGAGCAGGACAAGAGGGGCAGGCACGGACAACGCAGGTCCTCCAAGTTCTGCTTGAAGGAGCACAAAGCGCTCAAGACATTAGGCATCATCATGGGCACGTTCACCCTGTGTTGGCTGCCCTTCTTCATTGTCAACATCGTGCACGTGATCCAGGACAACCTCATCTCGAAGGAAGTTTACATCCTCCTAAACTGGTTGGGCTATGTCAACTCGGCCTTCAATCCCCTGATCTACTGCCGGAGCCCCGACTTTCGGATTGCCTTCCAGGAGCTCCTGTGCCTGCAGAAGGCTTCCCTGAAGGCCCTAGGGAATGGCTGCTCCAGCAACAGCAACGACAAGAGCGACTATGCAGCCGCGCTGAGCAGCTATCACCTGGGGCAGGAGAGAGAAAATGAACCGCTGGGTGAGGACCGCCCAGGCACACAAGACTTTGTGAACTGCCAAGGTACCGTGCCTAACGATAGCATTGATTCACGAGGGAGAAACTGTAGGACCAGTGACTCGCTGCTGTAACTGGTTTTCTTGTTTGTTTGTTTGTTTGTTTGTTTGTTTTTCTACTCTTTCAGACGACCCCCTCCTCCCCTAAGGAACACTAAACAGCAGACTATTTGACACGAGTGTAATAAATGTAGAATACAATTGTATAGAGATGTGCGGGAGGGAGGACATCCTTCTGCCCCCTTTTTAATTATTTTTATTTTTTTAAGCTGTAAAAAAAAGTAAGAGAAAGCGTATTTGAATGATGATTTGTTTCTTGTACAGTTCAGTTCCTCCTTGCAGGGAACCTTTTCAGTTTATGTCTGAAGGCTTCTGTCCCAGAGGCCCTGGTGGGCTATGTTTGGACAACTTCCATGTATTGATCTACCTCATTGGTCAAGTCTTCGGGGCGATGTATTGCTGCTGGTAATTTGTATCTGAAGGAGATGCTCCTTCCTGCACCCTTGGACTTGAGGATCTTGGACCTTTCAGCTGTGAACATGGACTCTCCCCACTCCTCTTATTTGCTCCAAAAGGGGTGTTGAAGACAGGGATTTGAGGGGCAGCTTGAGTTGTTTTCCTGAGCAAAGTCTAAAGTTTACAGTAAATAAATGGTTTGATCGTGACTTCATTGCACCTGTCTCTCCAAAACCCCTTGATTTGACTGGAGTGTTCTTGCCACCCCCACTAGAAACTGGAGGTACCTCTGTGTAATCACTGCCCAGTGACTTCATGTGGAATGACACCAGAGTGGCATGCATGGATTGCTTAACCCTTTCGCCTGCTTTGAAATCTGCCACTCCAAGTCTGTATGTCTCCTTGCACTTGGTGCTGCCGGCTTCCGGCATAGCCCAGCCCAGCCCAGCCCAGCCCAGCCCACGGTTATTATTCTGTGCTGTTACATCAGAAACAGTGACTCACGCACTCAGAGTTATGGGCATGTATTTTGTCTCTCCACGTGCCCCCCTCCCGCCCCCTACTACCCCCCTTTCAGTTCTTCTTGGTTAATAGCTGCTGCTCTTTCTCTCTTGGCCGTGTCTCATAGTGGAGAGCTTTGCCCTGTTGCAGGGCTTATCATTTCAAGGGAAGATCTTCCATTGAAAAATCTACTCCAACATAGCCCATCATTCCCTGGGGAGTAAAAATGATCCTAGGAAAGGTGGGAAGCACAGTGCTGACGGATACCTCTTGACCTAGAAATAGGGTTTTAATTCCTCCTGCTCCTCTTCCATATCGGCTCCCTCTTCCTCCTCCTCTGCCCAAGGTTTTTCCATGCAGGGACTATCTGCATGCCTGGACCACATAAATCTCGGTTGTGGGAACTGCCCCATGCGTTGTTGGATATTGAGCAGCATCTCTGCCTTCTAACCACTAGATGCTATTAGCACCACCCACCCAGTTGTGATAAGCAAAAAGGTCTTGAGCCAGACTCAAATGTCTGGGGGGACAGGCAGTGGTATGGTGTGGGAAAGTGCCCTCGGTTGAAACCTGGCGAATCAACTTTTAAAATCAAAATAAGTTTTAGATTTTGTTTACTTTGCTGATACAGCAATTTTTAATTTGCAGGCCCTCTGAGAGATATGGCAATATTGTTCCTGGTTGATCACCACTGGTATAATCTGAAAATTGAAACCGATTTTGAGATACTGTCCAGTGCCATGACTTTATTTCTCAGCGCCTCAGAGAAACAGTTTCCACAGTTGACCCAGCCAGTGACCGCCCTTGGGCCACCTTTCTTTCCTCTCTTTCATGCTGACTTCTGAACTTAGCTTTATAGCGGCTGAGAGACTGACCAGGAGACAGGCTGAAGGCTTTGTGTCTGCACAGGATTGTTTGGGAGAGTTTATCACCGGCCTATGGGCCACTACTACCTGCCCATGGGGGGAGATTAGAGTAGTGTGAAGAGGCATATGAAGGAGAGAAAAAAAAAATCACAAAAGTAAACAAACACACTCCTCCCCACCCCATCCTCGCCCGTCTCACCTCAACCTCACTGTGCGTTCTATTTTTGCCCATGTGTCTGAGCCAGAGCTTGGCCCTGGGCTAATGGAGTGGCCCGTCCTCCTGGGTAATGCCAGGCTGGAGAAGATCAGACTACAGGGTTCAATGCCATTTTGCTCGCCTGTGGAGCTGACTCCGCTCCTCTCTTCGCTTTTGTCGCAACCAACGTCCCCAAACAGAAAAGCACGGGGTTTCTCTGCTTCCTGTCAGTTCGGTGATGGGATGGTGGGCCCAGCAGAGCCCGGCACTCTCCAGAAAATGTCAGGCACCCGTGGTTTTAAACCATGCCCTGACAGACTGGAGAGTGGTGCTCTATCCTCAGAGAGCTTTCACACCTGTAACCATGTTCTCCTCCAGCCGTGAGCCCCACCTCCCGGGGTGGGCAGCTTCTCCACCTAGTCTTCACACAGCCCAGTAGCCACACAGGATCTCAGACTGGGAAGAGCTGACAGAAAGCAGTCGACATCCGAAGAGACAGAAAGCCTGAGGGGGAGAATGACCAACTGAAGGTAAGAAAGCCAAGGCTCTCAGAGTCACAGCTAAAATCAGGCAGCTTGCCTGTCAGCCAGCGGTGTGTCCCCTTGACCAAACTGTCATTGAGCTATCTGCCTTCACCCTCAGCTGGCAGCTTGTCCCAGGGATCAAAACACAGCAGATTTAGTTTGTCAGATGTTTTGAATTCTTTTGGGCGCTCCACACAAAATTCAGGGAGTAAACAAATAACCTGAAATGGGGACAATAGAAAAGAATTGTTCATTTGACTCGGGCAAGAATCCACTAGGATATCCTCTGGCTTCAGGGAAGCTTGGAGCATCTTAACCCTTTAGGACCTGCTAAGAATTTCAAGTCACTCCAGGTAGAAATTCGCCATCGTCTCATTTCAGAGAGTTGGAAACATTCCTGTCACCATTTGTAAGTCCCATGGGGCCTTAAAACAATGTGAAAATTGTATAAATATTCTTTTGTGTAAGGTAGGTCTTCTATCTGTTTTGTTTGTTTCTTTTTTTTAAGTAGAGAGTGGCTAGTGAAATTTAAGTTTAAAAACTTCACCTGCAAATATCAATTCCAATTCTCAGCTCTAAAGGGCCTTCAGCCCTTGTTCGATTCCTTTAAGAACCTGTGCAATACAAGAACTTTGGTCAGCTCTAAAGGTCTTGCCAAGTGAGCGCATCCTAGGCGGACGCCCACCGCTTGGTTTTGCTTTGAGTGTCCACCTCTTTGAGTTTTTGCTTTGTTTCTTTTGCGGGGAGCTGCTGCTTATGTCCTTCTGTTTGCTGACTGGTCAGTTACATAAGATTTGTGTTGGATTCGGCATCGTAAAGTTTTCTTTGCCTGGACAGCAAGTTCTCAGAGTCTGTCAGCTGAGAACCTTATCCTGAGATGCAAGCTGACAGGTGTGTGCAGCGATGGCCCTGGGTGGGCCTCCCAGTTGCAGACAGCAGAGCCATTGGGGGAAGGACGCTAGGGGAAAGAGAGATGGAGCGGAGGAACCACAAGGCCTAGAGGTTTCTCATGATGAACCTGCTACCAGATGAGACTTAGACCAGGATCACTGGGGTGGGTGGGCAGGGGGGGTGGCATTGTAGAATATCCACCAGGGGTAGCACGAGAAGACCATAGATTTCTGTCCAGATCTTCTGGAGTGTGATCTGAATAATAGATGTTTTGTGAAATACTTGCTAAATGTAAGGGATTGCACTAAGTATCTTTTAGGCCTGTCATCTTTGCCACCTTGTGAGTTGTAGCATCATGTAACAAATGAGGAAACTGAGGTTCAGAAGATTAAGTAGCTTGCTAAACACGGGCTAGATGCAGGTTCAGAACTGAGACCCAGTCTGTGTGAGTCCAGTGTCCATGAAGCCTAGTCCCCATACAGACCAGGAAGCAACCTGGGGTCACTGGCAGTTTGTGCCAAAACAAGTGTTAAGAACTGGAAATGCAATCTCTTGTTGAGAGAAGAGGGAGAGGGCTGTGGGTCAGGGCAGGCAGGAATGTTCCAGTCAGAGCATGTGACTGCAGGGCTGCCGGGGACTAGGACAGGAAGCCAATCACTGACAGGCCTTTCTAGCTTCTCGGAGTCTCTGCTGTGTCTTTTCTTCAGAGAATCAAGTCAAATGAAAACAAGGATATGAAACTCCAAAAGGAACAGAGCCCAGTAAGCAGGAGCTCTGGCAGTCTTGCCCCCAAGCAAGCTCGCTCTCGATGACAAAGCAAGGAAATGGACCTTCAGGGCCATTGGCCTGCCCTGGCGGCTCTGTAGGCCTGCCCTCTGCTTTGAGCTCGCCCTCTGGGACAGGTGAGATGATTTTCTGATAGCGGAGATCAAGCAGGGTGAACAGTACTTTCCATTGATGGTACAAACTTGACTCAGCTCAGCAACCTGCTAACCCCAACTTCACTGGCAATGCAAATATGATTTGAAGGAGGAATTTTTGAAATAGCTGAGAGAACAAACTCCTCAAGGACTTTCAAGAAATTGAGAAATCCTGGTGTCTTGTGAATAATAGTAGGGAGGCAGAGGGTAGAAAGCACTAGATTTGGGGTCGGGCAACTGGGGTTCAGGTCTCCACTTGAGTCTTCCTCTATCTCGCTCCTTGTGTGTTTTCTTGAACAATGAGTCCAGGGATCATGGTCTTGCGGCTCTCCTTCACTCTCAATCTAAATAGCTATTAATATGGACACTCATTAGAGACAGCAGTTTTTATTTCTGATGTGAAATGCCATTTCTTGTGTAAATCGTGGTGGACTATCCTGGGAGCGTTCAGCCTGTAGAGAGTGTTCAGCCTGTAGGAAGAAGAAAGATGTGGTGGTGATGGTGGTGGCGGCTGTTGTTTTAGATCCAGCCGGGTTGATTCCAGCTCATTGCAACCCCATCTGGCAGAGTGGAATGCCCTCAGGGGTCTTCATGGTCATAAGCTTTACAGAATCAGGCTGCCAGCTCTTTCTCTGGTGGATGATGAGAACTGCCAACCTCCTGGTTAACAGCCACCTGCTTACCCGTCTACACTGTCAGGGCAGTAGATTGCATGATAACTCCTTTGGGCTACTTTGAGGACCACCTGGGAAAAGGAGCATACCAGTTCTTTGTGAATATCAGAGAGCAAACTGAACCTTCTAAGGAGGCAGACCCCAGCTCAGGAGAAGGAAGAGTTTTCTAAGAATGCAATAGGTTGTCTTTGAATGTAGTAAGCCTCCTGTCATTGAAAGCATTCAAGAAAAGCCAAAATGAAGCTCTGTATGGGATGAGCCTAGGAGTTTCCTACACTGAGAAGGAGGAGGCTAGACTAAGCTCCTTCCAAATCTGTGACTCTATTTCCCTGGAAACAATAGACCTGAATGTCCTTTAAAAGTAGGTAGACTGTTCCCTAATCCCAGCTGGCCTTCCCCCCAATTCCTCTGGACTTGCCGAGGTTTCGCTGCATTCCCCGAGGGAAACCTCCCCGGGAAATCAGGATATCAACCGTTCTTGGCCGTGGGGAGAAATCCAGAAATAGAGCAATAAGGTTAAGCAGTTTTCCAAACTATTAGAACTTTTCATCAACTGCTCTTCCCATGCCTTTTGCAAATGACCTACTAACTCCCAGAGAGAGAATAATGAGAGCTGCAAAGTCCTCTCTGCAAAGACTATTA